TTTTTTTCCTGTTTGGGCTGAGTAAATAGTTTCCCCTAATGTAATATAAAGCTTAATACATAAATTAAACCCACTTTCCTCTTGACGATTTTTTTATGGCTTTCTCATTAGAAAAGGCAGTTCCACACTCTTGAGCCAAAGAATATTATGAGCACACTGAAACTTATGACCCAGCACTCTCCCTTACCACTTTCCCATCTAACAGTTCTGAAGCACTTCAAAGTTACCCCAAAGTACCAGCGTTTTATTCCTCTCTGGAGTCTGGCATTCTCCTTTTTCCACTTGCAATGTTCTATCCTCCCTCCCTTGTCAGCTTTGAAAACAGGAGTCTATGTGTCCCTTTCAACAGGAAACTCAACTTCGGGGCTTGAAAAGGCTTAAACACTCCATCTGCTTCAACCCAGGAGCTTACTCAGATACCATATACATTTTAAATGATGCTTCTGATTCATGGTGCCATACTGTAAATCATTATTTTAAAAGATGTCGCCCTTTGAGTGAGTAGGCTTTGTGTCTGACTAGATGCTACGTTTTGTTCGTCTTTGTGTTCTCATCCCCTCACACATTGCCTCGCCCATAACAATTGCTTAAGAAATGGTGAGTTGAATGAAAATGATGTATACCACCCTATCCCTGTCAGAGAGTAGTGTTTTACTTATAATCTAATACACAGTTGTCTACTGTTTAAAAATCAGAGTTTACCCTTGAGAAATTAGCACCTTAACCATGCATGCTTACCCCACCCCACCACTGCCCTCAGCCCCCGTTCACTTTTCACTTAAGTAAGAAGCTGTTTTATTCTGGCAGTTTTTGCCGGAATAAAATTCAGTCTAACAGAAGTCAGTCTAACAGATATGCATTAATGCAGGCTGGATTTGCCTAGACATCAATAAACTCGAAAGGCTCCCTGCGGGCCACTTGTAATGTCAATAAAGATTCGTAATTACTTGTTCCTTGGAGCATTTTTATACCCGACCCCGTTCGCTGTGCTGCAAAGAGGGAACTCAAGATCTCGGAAGTTCTTAACTTCCTGAACTCTAGAGGAAGCATGGTAAGCATTAGCGGGAACCTCGGGTTTTTAAGCAAAGATGATGGCTGTTTTCGTTGCTATTTTAAGCTGTCAGGGGATAAGCAACTCGGAATTCCCCTTCTTACTTCCCGTGGAAGGGAAGATTGGAATTGGGCCTTCTCATTTCTGAGCATGGGGACGCCTAAACGCAACGACCAAGAGTGAAAGACCGCTGAAGCTACTGTTCAACCTGAAGGAACAAGGATTTCAACTGGAGAGAAACTGGCGACCAGGGACTGCGGACGTGCGCACATAGATGAGGGAAATCCTGGCTCCCACACACTGGCTCATGCTAGAGGTGCCTCCCGACCTACCAGCCCACAGTAAGGAGCGAACTAGCAGAGCGGCAAGTATCTCTCCCAAAGAGGATGAGGACGAGAGCATGGCGGAGAGGTCCCCAGAGTGAACACTCGAACACAGGACTCTTGAAGAGTGTCCCTGCCACACAATACAAGTACGAAAAATGGTAGGATGAAGGACAGGTGACAATCAGACGCCCTATATATTTTGAGACTTTTGGAGAGAACTTTGCTCTTCCTGTTTTGGAGAGAACGTTGCTCTTCCTTTCTCCCCTCCCTTTCCTTTCCTTCTTTCTTTCCTTCCTTTCTCGGTATCTGAATGTGTGCGTGGGTGTACTTGCGTTTAAAAGAGAGGTCCCAGGTAGCTGTTTGTTTTTTTCTTTCTCAGAATCCTGTTTCTCCGCAATGAAGTTTAAGTGGGATTGGAGTTTCCTTGACTTCTGCGTGAGGAGTTTCCATATGACAACAAAAGGGAGGCGTATAAATATCCATAAAGTTCCTAATGACACTCTGTCATCACTTGTTTCCTGCAGCATCCTGAGCCAGGGTCGTCTTCCACCACCCATGCTGACCGGGCGATCGGCTAACAGGTTCATGCGTATTTGTACTTTCCAGATTGAGCTGTGCCTGGAATAACAAAAGTCCTCTTACTTCCACCGCCGCCCCCCACCCCCACCCCGTTTCACTCCACCTTGGAAGGGGTATTTTTGCTTGTGAGCGTATATATTAAGCAAAAGCGATTGGAAGAAGGTACTCCTCTTGTAATCTACCCCCAGCTCTGCCTGAAGCAGCCCTCCGGCGGGACGCTTTTGTAATGTGTCCCCAGGCGAGGTGCCCTCTCACCGAGATGCCGATAGACTATCTTGGCGCTCCCAGGCCCAGAGAGCTGATGTTCTGGTGTCCCAGGAGAGTGTATGAGGGTCTCTGTGTGTATGAGTGAGTGTGCGTCTGTGTGTATGTATGTGCGCGAGCTCGCCAAGCGCGTGGCACTGTGAGCTTCCTCCCCCGGCCAGAGCAGGCAGAGCCGGGGACGTTACTCTTCAAGCAGCCTCCGCCCCCTCAGCCCGATGATTGGCTGGCTTTGCGCAGCCTTTCCTTGCTAGAAGAGGGAAGGGCCAGTGACGCCCCCAAGCCAGCTGCAGAAGCGGCCGCCACCTCCAAAGCACAAGGTGTCTCCTCTGAAAAGAAACCTAAGCCCCAGGGAGGCGGCGCGGACGACCCTGGCAGAGCTGGCGCAAACCGGGCGAGAGGGCGCTGGGCAGCGCTCGAGGGCAAGAGGGAGCTCGGCCACAGAAGACCCCAGCGACCTGATCCTGGGATCCCGGCTCCAGGCTCTCCTCGCATTTTACAGGTTTCCCCCCCGCGACTATCTCCCCAAAACGGAGCCTTTATATCAAGAGAAGGTGCGGGAGCTGGGGCAACCAGGACTTTCCCGGGCACCCAAGATGCGCTCCATTAGGAAGAGGTGGACGATCTGCACAATAAGTCTGCTCCTGATATTTTATAAGACAAAAGAAATAGCAAGAACTGAGGAGCACCAGGAGACGCAACTCATCGGGTAAATGCAAAGCTTCATTTCAGGATATGACAAAAAGTCAAGCCGTAAATGAAATGTGAATATAGAGGGTAGAGTGATGCTTAGGATGGCATGTGTGTTTGAGCTCGCGTGTGGTTAGTGTCAGGAATTAAATAACAAAGGCTGTTGTGGAGATGTGCGTGCTTCTCTACGTTGTTCCCAGTTTGAGTTCAACTTGCCCTGTGCCGTTGGGGTGACAATTGTTTTGGCTCTGGGTGCTCTCACGTCAAAGGAGAAGTCACTGCAGAAGTGTCAACAAAGAACGTGTGCCCTTGTCCTTTTAATCTGTGGCAGAATTCAAGAGAGATGTCTTTATTCACCAAACGGTTGCCTGTTTTCGCTGTCCTATCACCTAGGGAGATACTGGAGATAGATGATTTCTTGAAAGGCTGAAGTTAAAGCTCAGAAAGCAGGAAATAGGTATCCTCTGTTTCTCTACTTTTTTTTTTTTTTTTTTTTTTTGACGTTGGATAGATCTATGTATTATAATTTGAATTAGAAACTCCAGTACCACTAAGGATACTTCCTTATTTGTTCTTCTACGGGTAAAACGCATGGGCGTCATGGTTACAGTTTTAGAAAGAAACTGGGTACTGTAGCTTCACACAGACTATATTTCTGCTATTTTTTTAGTTTGTCTAGATGAATTCAGACTCTCCCCCGCCCCATTAAGTTCTCTAAATATCACACTTCCTTCCACCCTCCCGCTGGCCTCTGTGCCTTTGAAGTTTACCCAGGAGGTGGTGCAACTTTGTGTTTCTGACATAGCTTGGAAGCGTTTTTCTGAGAATGTGAACCCGATTGTCAACTCTGTTCAAAGTCCTGTTTCGGAAATCCTCCCTGTTCCGGTCTGGAGGCGTCCTCTATCAGAAACTCCACACCAGCAGAGATGCCTACCCAGTGTATATTTTCTCTGACATTGATTTAAACAAAGAAAAAAGCCGTGTGTGTGTGTGTGTGTGTGTGTGTGTGTGTGTGTGTGTTGGGGTGTTGGGACTGCTAAAACACACACATGTTCTTAAACTTCATGCACTCCATTTCTTAATATTCCTGCTCCCTAGGTAATAAGCATTTATTTAAGTGACCAAGATGCAGGTTTATCCTTACAGAAAGACTTTCTCTTCTGTAGCACAGTCAAAGGGGACTGGAAGAGAACGAAAAAGCTAGCAAGGAATGGGCTGGAATGGTACTTATGCATCAACGAATCTATACGTGGTCTATTCTGAGAGGGTAAGAAAGACGGATATGAGGTCGTTTACACAGGAGTGGGTGGCTTGAAAATCCAATCTAGCTCAATTGTCAGAAAAAAAAAGGACTTTGGGCAGGGGCGTGGGCATCCCTGCCAGACCTGTGCTTGCCAGGCAGACAAAGGGGTCTTTAGAAAGGTGATGAATGGGCGCGTAGGGCTCCGATGAGAAGCAGAGGCTGGAACGTGAGGGTCGAGGCTCTTTGTTCCCTCTCGGGAGGTGGGCTAAGAGGATAAGTCTGAGCCCAGACAAAGCGGTCAAGCCTCCCCAGGACTCCGAGGGTTCGGGCCCTTGGCTCGGACTCTGGTCAGCAGGAGTGGGCGGGGCCAGTGAGGAGAGGAGTCGCCAGACACTGCTGAGGTGTCCCTTTCCGAGCCTCCCTAAGCTATGGCCAGTTAAAGGAGCGCTTCCCGAGTCCCTGCAGGGGAAGTGGAGCCGGGACACTCCACATTGCATGGGTGTCATTTCTCCTGTCGCCCTTTCCTAGACATCGCAGGCTGGTGGGCGCAGCCCTGGGCGCTCAGGAAGAGAAGGCGGGCACGGGCGCGGCGGTTGAGCTACCCGGGCTGGGCTTCTGCCCGCATCCTTTTCAAGCTAAGACAGTTTCTTCCCGGCTTAGCTGAGAAGGCGTTGGGGCGGGCGCTAGAGTTAACCAAACAGGAAGAGAGGCGCGCACCGGGGCTGTCCCCTGTTCCGAGGGCGCAGGCGGCGATGGGGAAAGAATAAGTGAGAAGACTGGAGAGCCTTTACTGCAGGACTCAGGCCCCTTTCGTCCACCCCACCCCCCGACTCCTTCCAAAGTCACTTTCATTGCTCAGTTGGCAACTGGCTCCTCCTTCTTAATTATAACCCGCAATTACAGTCCGATGGGGCGAGGCAGAGAACTGACCCCGAGCATCGCGCTTACACCAGTGCCCTGTAGCGTCCTGGCTGCCTTGGCTCTTCCTGAGAGACCGAGACTGTGGATGGAGTTGGAGCTGCCAGAACAATGCGAGGACAGCTAGGTTCCCTGAGCACTGTTTCCTTTTTCTCCAGGATGAAAGGTTCAGTGGAAAAGCTTGTGATCTGAGCTCGTGGTTTCGTTTCAACTCCCAAATAGCGCTTCTGGTGGAGCAATTGACTCATCCATCAAAGGATCTAATCATCTCATTGACTCTCTTTCTACCCAAGCCACGTGGAGAGGCCAGTTTTGAGTTTTCAGTAAACTGGAATGGAGGTTTGGCTCCAGATCCTTGTCCAGTATTGAAGTGAGGTAACCAAGGCAGTCTCTGGCCTTTGGGGGGCACTGCGAGCCTTGTGGCTTGGCAGCAGTTTCAAAGAAGGGCCTTCCGTAGTCCTCGAATCTTGCACCACCCCTCCCAGATTCATATTTAGCTTTTCTGCTACCATTTTTGACATATGCTGTCAGTTCCTTTATCCCTTCGACCCTTCCCACAACTGGAAGTCCCATCTGTAGTTGGTATAGCATTCCTCTCTGATATGCCACAATATTAAGCAATCATTCCACACAGATGGAAAAATAGAGAACCAGCACAACCTTCTCATCAACCACCCATATTCTCATATCTCCAGAGGAACACCTGCGGCATGTTTTTTTTTTTTTTAAGTAATTATTCCAGAATAGGTCAAGTAATGATTATTGAACATCTAAAATTCATATTTCCTTCCTATTAGTTAATAAAGTTTAAGTCAAAAGGCAGTGAAGGCATTAAGTGGTGTGTTCTTGACTACCTTTTTTTTCTTAGTAGACCTCACAGTTGGCTTATGACTTAACTAGTCTGTGTGCACTTTGGGTGTAATTGGAAATGTGTTAATATAAGGTTCCCATAGGTAAAATATGTAAGCACCCTCATTTAATGAGATAATATATTTGAAAATGTAATATAAACTTTAATGTCATATAAATATTTGTTTTGTTCTTCCTTAAATCTTGCTACACACTATTTTTCTGGTTGACCACAAATGAGACTAACTTACTTTTCTTATTATCCAGGAATCTCCCATATAATTTGACTATACACTTTAGGTTATGTTACTAAATGATATTAATATTAATATTAATTCTGAAACCTATGATAAAATTGGCAGTGGAGATAAGTATTTTCACTTAGAGTATTACATTGTCAGCAAAGTTAGTTCCAGTTTGGTTAGGATGAAACACAACCTTGTGAATGTAGGAATTCAGAATTTGCACTTCACATTTCAAATTTCACAATTCTACTAAAACTCATAAGCAATAAATTAATGTAGAACCTCTCATTTTTACTTTTAGTTGTCACTTAAGTGATGAAAATACAAAATGGTCTGCTGTGTGTGTTCAGCCTTAGTTTAATGCAAGTTCTTTTCTTAAAATTTGTGTAATAAAGAGGAAGTTTAACCTAGTCCAAAGGGAACAAATTCATTCAAAAGCCAAGTCATGAAGAGTTTCAGTGGTGTTGAATATGGGGCTTTTGAGACCTAATGCCGTGAAGTGATATTAATCATATGAGTTACACACTGCAAAACTAATAAATTCTAATGAAACCTGGAAACTTGTATTTCAAAGAGAGAAATATATGTAGACACTAGGTTACCTAATAAATGATTAATTCCTGCCATTGATATCACACAGATAACGATCTTAGTGGATTTTTCTTTGCTCCGTATAAGCAGGGACACTTTGTACTATGTTGACTTATGCAGCGTGATTTCTTGATACATATTGATGTGTTTTGCTATTTTCCATTTAAAAGTACATATTGAATCTTGCAGATGTGTTTTGCTATTTTCCTTTTAAAACTACATAGTGAATCTTCTTGTAGATGACCCTATGCAATAAATATTTTCAGTGCAGCTGTTCAAAAGTCATGTCTGATCTAGAGTGAGAAATAAAAAGGGGGGTGGCAAAATCTTTCGAGATTTGCATTCATGGGAAGGAAGAGCCTTTTCTAAGACAGAATGCTACCAAGGTCATGAGCGAAACATCCCATGGGACCCATCTAACTTTGTACAGAGAAATTTACTCTAGAGCTTCAGATTGTACTAAGTTTGGCCTTCTCCCCCAATGACTATTAGAAGTGTGACTAGTTGTAGGTATTTTTATTCAAAATTCTTTCCAGTGATAAAAGTCTGAAATTTGGCTTATCACCAGCTCAATGACAGCAATTCAAACAGCAGAGTAAAATGGTCTCATTTTATTCTTAGAACACTGATTTAAACTTTTTAGATCTTGGAGATTCTGAAAAGGGTTGGGCCAACTAAAAACATCACAGCAAACATTCTGCCATGTGATATGTATTTGCATCTACATATCAACGAAGCAATCATCCATAGATTATTTATTTAATTAATTAAGTTTTAGAGACAGAGCCTTGTGATGTTACTCAGGCTGGTCTCTAACTCCTAGTCTCAAGTAATCCTCCCACCTCAGCCTCCTGAGTAGCTAGGACCATACGCACTGCCCACCATGCCCAGCTTTTCCACACATTTTAAAAAGTGCAAGCCCATGCATATTTTCACTTCTTCTATGAAAGTTTATTGGTGGTGAAAATAATTATTATAATGATAGCAATCTGTGGTTAAAGATGACACTGATACATCAATTAATAGGGTGATGATTAGAAATATCCCTTACCCCTAGAAATAGTGATAGTTTGCACCTGAACACATGAAGTCATATTTCCCAAAGTGTGAAGGTTAGCTTCTGTGTATAGCCACATTTTTATTCATAATTAGTTATCATTAGAAATATAATATACAAATTATATAAAATATATAATATAAAAATTATAAATATATATAATATAAAAATTAAACATAATTGAGTTAAAATCCCAGCATGCTTCTATTATTGTAAAATTTAGCAAACTACTTCTGAAATAAAAAAAAAATATATATATAATATAAAAATTAACTTCTGGGCCAATGGTTAGTAAAGTGCACCCCGTGCTGTCTTGCATCCTAAATGCCCCCCTGTAAAGCAATCATTATTTGCCATGAATAGGCATGCAAATATATCATTTTCATCAGTAGGATAGTTTAAGATATTAATTTTTTTAGAATTCTGAATTTCACAGGGGATAGCAGTTTATAATGCATTGAGCAGCTTCAAATTTAAACTACATGTTCAAAAAATGCAAACCAAAATACCAAACTATAAGGCTTCAATGACAGAATTCAACCAACAACTATTATACAGGTAATGTTTCCATTGATACTAGGAGAGGATTGCCTGCATAAAAAACACAGATTTAGAGTATGCTCTGGAGTGAATAGTCATGTCACATTTCAACTATAATTTTGACATTCTAAGAAGTAAAAGGTGATGTAAAGAAATAAATACAAATATTCAAAGGGCTATGGTTATTGTTGGTATTCTATAAGAAGTGGCTTTTTGATTTTCTGAGTCTGGATTTACATTGATAAAGTACAAGAAGATGGTCTATTGAATAATGAATTCATTCGGATATAAATGTTCTAATGGTATGCATGCTATTACAGTTATCTGCCAGCATCATGACTCCCTCCAGCACCCCAGCTAGTACCATACCAGCTTGACACTATTGGTTGCAGGCGGTAGTTTTTTAAATATAAGTAAAATACTAGTAATAATGGCTACTGAATGAATTTTCTCCTTACTATAATCTCTGTCTCTCCATCACCTGCTAGGGAAATGACTCATTGTTGAAATGTTTTGAAATCAATGCAATTTTTGAAAAATTAATTTTACATGCAGAGCCTGATTTGATCCTCACAAAGCCATTGCACATTAGATAATTTTATTGCAATTTTCAAGATAGAGTAAGGCCACTGTGGCTTAGAAAGAGAATAGAGTCTAGGAACACAAGCAAGCCACAGAATCACAAACACGCCCAGATCACCTGATATTCCAAGTTATCCTTGCTTCAAAACAAGAGCCCCTTCTATTATGCATATATGCCTTCTGTAAAAATGAAATTACAATCTTAGGAGTCACAATTATACAGAAGGAGGAGCACTGAAAAAACATTCTGCCTCTATTGTCTTAAACGGAGTTAGTGAGAGGCTAATAGGAAACAGAGCTTTTTATTTGTTTTATCTCATTTTAATTGCCAAATAATAATTGTGTATATTTATGGGATACAATGTGAGGTTTCCATACAAGTATACGTTGTGTAATGATAAGATCAGGCTAATTCGCATATGCACCACCTCAAATATATGTCATTTCTTTGTGGGGAGTACATTGAAAATCTCTTGCAGCTACTTAAAAATATACAATACAATATTATTAATGGTAGTCACTGCATTGTGCAACAGAACTTATTCCTCCCATCTAAATGTGGAATTTTGTACTATTGACCAATTTCTCCCCATTCCCCATTCACTCCCTCTTCCCAACATTCTGTTCTCTACTTCTATGATTTCCACTGTTTTAGAATCAATATATAAGTGAGATTATAAGGTATTTGTCTCTCTGTGTTAGACTGATTCACTTATCTTAATATCCTCTAGGTTCATTCATGTTGTCACAAATGGCAGGATTTTGTTATTTTTTAATGGCTGAATAGTACTCCACTGAGTATATATATATATATATATATATATATATATATATATATAACATTGTCTTTATTCCTCCGTTGATGGACACATAGGTTATTTCTATATCTGGGCTATTGTGAATAATGCTGCAGTGGACATGGGAATGTAAGTATCTCTTTGACATACTGATTTCAATTCCTTTGGGTATATGCCCAGAGGAGAGATTGCTGAGTTATATAATTCTGTTTTTATATTTGGTGATTTTTTTCTCTTTAAGTACTATAGAGATCTTTTTTTTATTCAGAAATTGTTTTATTTCAAAAATATCACATGTAGATTCTTGTCCTGATATTTATATTCACTCAATCCTCATAACACCTTTCATCATGCTTATATAATTCCTTCTAACTTGTAGGGGAAAATGTAAGTAACATTCTTCATCAGTAATTAATTCAAATTATATATTGTGCTGTTTAGCAAAATGTTTCTTACTTTCACAAAGCTGTAATTTTTGTTTTGTTTCAGAGATGGTGAATTGTCTTTGAGTCGGTCACTTGTCAATAGCTCTGATAAAATCATTCGAAAGGCTGGCTCTTCAATCTTTCAGCACAATGTAGAAGGTTGGAAAATCAATTCCTCTTTGGTCCTAGAGATAAGGTGAGTTTCTCTACTAAGGAATAATAAATTTCACATCCTGTCCTCAAATATGTTGGGCTTGGCAAACTTATATTAAACACCTGATTTATGGTTTAAGTATGAATACTTAAATAAAAGAGTGAACCAGCTCTATTTAATGTTGCTCACTGAAGAATATGAAACCGTAAAACTGAAATCACTACATAGTCAGAGATTTAAGAATGAATATGTGAGTTTTGAATATCGTGTCTTTATACTAATCGAATAAAATATTTAGCAGACTACTAACATTTAACATACTTCACTCAATTACTCAGAATGGACATATATTTTAAGAATTATCTTTAACTTCTTCCCTATTGAGCCTTCATTCTGCTTTTGGGTTTTCTCAGCTAGGTGAAAATAGAGCCTATGCAGTTCTACTGTGCTGACAATTATAAGTAAATTAGCCTTATCCTGTTAATGAGTATTTCTGTGTGGGCTCATGTTTTAAAAGTTGGATACAAATCAGGAAATAAGCTTTCTAGATTACTGACTTCTTTTTTGTAAGACTAGTCATTTTAGCTGAAACCCACTCTTGAATCATACTCCATGCCTACATATATCCAGTATGTAATTTTATTCTGATATAAACCTGTTACTGATAAGAAAGATAAGGTCAAACATTCTTAATTATGAAGGAAACAGGAAAACTGTTTTTTCTTTATGGTTACATTGCATTACTGTATTGGTTGGTACATTTGAATCAGAGCATTTCAGTAAATGAGAACTCACTAAAAGTGTGAAGGAACACATTCTTTATATAATAAAATAATCTCAAAGTCAATGAATAGTGACCAAAATACTATTCATTGACTAGATATTAACACAGAGATTTTATAGGAATATTTAGCAACTAAGAGGTAAAGGGGCTGATTAATTTTCCTGGGTTTCTACCTATTCACTTATTGGATTATACCTACCTTTAATGTAGATTATAAGAAATTTGAAGGAAATGTCTATTAGTCTAACTACACTCATCTTTAGAGTATGCACAGAAACTTCATACAATGTGTTGAAGCCAAGATAATCACTGCATGTTGAAATTTACTTGAATGAATGTCTAGAAATTTTTAAAAATTGGGCTTCAGGGTGATGTAGGAATAGTATTACTACTTTGGTTTAAAGGCTTAAAATTTACTGGAAAGGAAAACAGGAATCAAATCATGGCAATGTCAAGTGGTGTATGTTTGTTTGCTTTTAGTTTAGTGGGAACTTTCTGTATTCACCTGCCTCCTACAAGAATGAAGAAATGAGTCGAGTCTGATGACAGAGCTCATAAATCGATGACTTCTGGGTAGAATATGGCCAGCAAGTAAAATTTATTTTCACTGGATAAAGAAAGAAAGAAAAAAAACTTTAAAGCCAGTATTAAAAATCAGGAGGATTTAAATAAAAGTACAGATTTTCATAAACTCTGGAGAAATTGAAATTTGACAACTTTGGATCTATACTATTCCTAAGATTTAGCTGGTTAAAGCTGACCCTAGCCATGGTTGCTCAAGTTTGACATTTTCAACCTGGAGCTCACATCTTTCATGATACCTATCTAGTGCATTTTCTCTGTCTCATATACCCATCCTCATATTTGAATTTAGAAACCCAGTGAGAGGTGAGATAATTATGAGGAAAAAGGCACAGAATGTGAGATGATATGGGGTCATAAACATAGATATACTATGGTTTAGAATGGAGTAATGATTCATATTTCTTGAAGGTATATTGGAAAGAGAGATATACAGGTGATTAAATAGCAAAAGTTTGACCTGTAAGCAGAAAGAGAACTTTCAAATAGCATGGTTTAGTGAGAAAGGAGCCAATTAAAACTATAGAGATCTGGTAAAGAAACTTCATAGAAGAAAGTAAAATGACATATTGCAGTAGTTTAATTAGTATATCTAGCCATGCTAAATAATATGTCCAATAACAAAAAATATCATAAGTAAATTAAATAAGTAATTGCCACTTGTTCAATTATTATATCTGGTCATGCCTTTTCTCATATCTAAAATTTTTAGATATGAGGAAATATTTATGGTATTTGATAAAAATCAAATACCATAAATATGCATGAGGCTATATATATTTTGCTATTAATAACATATTCAAGCAAAGAGTAATGAACCTAAGTTGACCCAAAATATTCATATTACAAGTTTACAAATCAGTAAGAGTTGCATTCATATATTTGAGGGTGATCTAATTTTAATTATAATAACTGATAATATAAATGAAATGTTAGTACTAATTTTTATGGTTCTCCTTAACAGATTAAAGAAATAAACAATAAAACAATGAACAAATGTTGAATAATACATACAAATTTGTCACTTCCTTGAAAGAAAAGAATAATTTGTAAAACCATTATTGTACAATGTTTAAAGAGTTCATAAAAATAGAATTGGCTATAGCAGAAATGACTAGTGAGTATTAATCAGTTTGATACCTGCAATAAAACTTTAGAATATGAAAATATCTGATTGTTGGCTTAGGTTTTGCAAATTTTTTTGGAAGACATTGGAAACTAAATATGGATCATTTATTATTATTATTATTTTTATTTTCTTTCTTCCTCACTTTTCTGGAATTTAAGAAGTTACATATCACATTGAGTCAGTGATTGGGTGTGGGTAAATTTTAAAAGTGTTTCCAAATTTCTACTTTTAAGTTTTTATTTATTTTTATTTTTATTTTTTGAGACAGAGTCTCACTTTGTAGCCCAGGTTGGAATGCAGTGGCATGATCTTGGCTCACTGCAATCTCTGCCTCCTGGGTCCCAGTTAAGCAGTTCTCTTGCTTTTATTTTTATTTTTATTTTTTTTACTTTTAGTTCCAGGATACATGTGCAGAACCTGCAGGTTTGTTACATAGGTATACATGTGCCATGGTGGTTTGCTGCACCTACTCAACTCATCATCTAGTTTTTAAGTCCTGCATGCATAAGGTATTTGTTCTAATGCTCTCCCTTCACTTGTTCACCACCCCCGACAGGCCCAGGTGTGTGATGTTCCCCTCACTGTGTCCATGTGTTCTCATTGTTCAACTCCCACTTATGAGTGACAACATTAAGACATTACAGGCAAACGTTTTTTAATTTTACATGATTCAATTATGAATATAGATCTTTTACATTTAAAAATCTTATTAAACTTATAATGCTCTTATTACCTTCCTAATAATTGTCCACATAGTAAAATGTGAAAACCGTTCCTGAGATCTTTTTTTTCACATTTGTAGGCATAATTTTCTTTCCTATTACTAATTCCTTCATTCCCGTATGTCTTATGTTATTTTCATAAGCACACCAAGAATCAGTTCATATATATTCATCAAACAACTGTACTTCTGAGGAGCTGTCTATGAGAGATGGTTCCATGTGTTACTTCACTGTACTTTGAGGATTCAAGATATATGGAGTTCATGCATTCTACAGCTAACTTTGCACTCAAAATAATTATCTTAGTTTTAAGGCTTGATATTTTTGGTAAAAGTTTTTTCTTTCCTATTATAAGTTAAGTAATGACGGATTTAAGATACATTAGATGTTGCGAATAAATCGGTGAACACTGTACTGAGAGATTGCGTAGTCATGTCCAATATTTGCAACTTGACTTTCTTTCCATATTTAGATTATTTATTTGCTTTTTTTTCTTATTTTTTATATGTTGACTAGAAACCCCAAGAGTGCAAACATCAAGTATAGATGTATAGAAATGTACAAGCTCAGCTACTATCAGGATAGCTTTATCACATCATAATTAGAAAAGAATATTTCATCTCTCAGTATCATGATACATCAAAGTTCTGAAATACATAGAACTTGAAGGTTAACTAAACATAATTGCAGATTTATATATGCTTAACTGACAAGAAGAATTTCCTATTGCATACATGGATTTACTTTATGAAAAGGTCTACATACAGTTTTATACTATTTTCCACTTGTTTTGATTAGTAAGTTACCAGTAGAGCTAATCTTGGGTCATAAAGCTTATTAGTGGCAGTGTCAAGATTCAAACCCAGACCTCCGGACTGAGGAACCGGAGCCTTATATAATAATTTTTTAAGAGTATATTTTAGTACCCAAATGTATATTATTAAAATTTATCATTATGGAATAAATGATTCTCTTTTTTCTAAAATAACAAAAGATATTCTTCATTCACCATTACAAAATTCTGGACCAAATATCAAATGGCAGTCTAGGATGTAAATTAAACTAAAAATGTTCTTCATCAAGTTGTGGGACAATTTTGCCTTTTCATTTGTTGTGTTTAAAATTTTTTTGATACTAAGATGTCTTTCCTATAACTGCTAGGACTTAGAAATCCTGAACAAGGTGCAGGTGAAAGTCTTATTCTTTCAGAGTATAAGGCAAGTTGCCTTGCAAAAATGATATTTTGAAACAAACAAAAACAGTGTGTTCTCTCTGTTTTTTCGTAGGCATAATAAACACTTGACATTTCTCAGTTTTACTTCTTATTTTCTTTCAGTGAATTGTGTCATTACTAACTTAATTTATACAGCGATTTTTTTTTTTTTTTTAATTTTTTTTTTTTTTTTTAATTTTTTTTTTTTTTTTTTTTTTTTTTGGTCTGTAGTCAGTGTTTAAAGTTTGCAAAAACTGATTCCTAATATATGTATCATAGCCTAATTTGCTTCTCAACTTGTGATACTTTCCACCTGTAAGATTTGTCACACAGTACTTTCTCATGGAGTTAACAATATCATTTAGATTAAATTTTAGTTGCAGCTGTGTGTTTATTACTGCTAAGAAACCTATAGAGAAGAAAGAGTGGCACCTGGTGATAGGTTAGCTATATTTAACATTTCACAAGTGAAAACAATGTTGCTAAACAATGTTTAGTAAATTAATTTTCTGGGATTCTGCAGTTGCTATCTCAAGTGATAAGCGATATCGAAAGGGAAGTTCTAGTTGAAAATTCAGTTAATACTTTCTGTATAGAATTTACTTGTCAGTTTAACAGTCTAAACCAACCTTCCCGTTTAAGGCTGACATAGTCTAACAAAAAATAGTTGTTATGACTAAGATATTTAGTTTCACTGAAAATGAAACGTATTTTCAGATTCCTTCAGTTATCTTTTACATTAAAATAGTTGCTGAATTTAGGTGTTTGCTTATCTAATAAGGTTTCAAAAATTGTATTATGATCACGAAATGACAGTTAAAGACCTATGAGGGGTCTTTTTTGTTTCCTTGTTCTTTTGAGTCATGCACAGAAAACACAAACCCCTACTTTGAATATCAGGTAATAACTTGAACCATGTACTAGGAAAACTTGTACTGGTAAAGCATGCATATTAAGCATTAGCTTTTTTTGATTCATGTTTATCTGGAGTGCAGATATTCAAGCCGTTTTCTTTCTACTGCTCTCATTTCCAAAATAATTTTGTTTGAACTACTGTTAAACAAAAATTCCTAACAATTATCTCCTGAGCAAAAGCATATATGTTCTCCATGGTGATATACTGTTGTTTCAGTTCAGTGCAAGTATAGGAGTTTCTATGCTTCCAATGATATTTAGCTAATTATATTTGAGTGTTTTTTTATTTCATATTTATAGTCTGAACAACAACTAGACTTAGCAAATACACAAAGCTTTTAATTCTCCATTACATCTACAGTCTAAAATCTGTTTTCGCTAGGGGATAAAAAATTAACCTGTTTTTACTGTTTCCAAAAAGTACTGAGCACTTAAGTCATAATATTATACACTCATAGTAATTACTTTCAGTCTTTTTTGGATCCTACAAAAGGAATTTTAACTCAGATAATTTTCCATATGTAGATGTAAAACCTAAAACAGAAACTAAAACTGGTTCAGGAGTAAGAAAAAAACAAAACAAAACAAACCAAAAAAAAAACTTAAAAAACCACACACTAGAGTCACTCAAGTTTACCTCTTTTCTTTTTACTTTGTAAAATAGCAAACTCCGAGTTTTGCCTAAGTTTTTCATGTTTTATGTTTTGATTAGTCTATGTGAGTTGGTAGTTTTTATAGTTTTTAAATCAATTTTACTATTTTCACTGCTTCAATTGAAAAAAAAATACTGCTGAGCCTATAATAGCAATGGAATACCACATAATTACAATCTGCACTTAGTAATTATTTACCTTGTTAAGCATTAGCATTAGTTTCTTCTAAGAGTTAGACAATATGATGTCTTTTAAAACTTTGTTTAACTCTTACAGTTTTCTTTTAAATTCATTTTTCTCTAAGAGAAAAATAGAGGTTTAATTATACTCAGGAACTTAAAGACATGTTTAAGATATGACGGACACATTTTTCCTCTAGTGCTCTTATTGTTTAAGCTCATCACAATTGGTAAATTTTATTACTAAGAGCAGAATATAACCTCAACCCTTGACTCCACCAAAAGAGTACTCAGAAGGCAGAAGCATGATTAGCAAAGAGGTTTAATTATACTCAGGAACTTAAAAGACATGTTTTAAATTATTTTTGAGACTGTCTATAACATAGCAAAAGTATGTTATTGGAAAGTCCCTTTTGACATTAGTTGACTAGCATGTGTTAACTTTTTTGACCAAATAAAAGAGATTTTCCGTTTTGAATTTCTAAGCTACAGAATATTTTTTCCAATCTGGGCCACTAATCTACTCACTGCAAGCTTGCAAGCATGCCACTTCTTGGGAGTGTGCATCTTCAAATACATCTACAGCAACCCATTTAAATTATATTCAAAGAAAAATGATAACACCATCTAGTTTGATGATTTAACCACATCCGTGTAGTCTCTATTTTAGAGTCAGCCTTGTCGTTTTCACAGGAAATGAGAAATTTCTGTTGAAGTGTCAGATATTAATTATTCACCAGACAACTAAGTGGTAGTCAATAAATATGTACAAAAGTTTCTGTGTATTGACACTTTTAGTGCAGTTTTTAACTTTCATGAAGCATCATTTAGTGCTTGACATAAACACTTTTCTAGTTTCTATAATGTATAGGCCCCAGGGTTACTTATTTCAAACATAATTTTCTTCTTTTATAATCTGTGCTTTGTTAAGATAAACTGTTATGGTGTCTCAGTGGTATTTCTATCAATTTGTGATTTATTTATAGACTATTTATATAGGTTTTCCTGTATAACTTCTATTGTTTATGAATCTGATATTCAGAATATTTGAGAAAAAATTTCATAAAATTATTTTTTCAAAGAGTTGGTGGACATATTTCTTGAGTATAAAATCATAACAGAGTTTTTCAATCACTTTGTTTTCTAACTAGAACAAATATTCAACTGGAACATATTTAGAGCAAATCAAAATAAAGACAACAAAATAAAAGATATGAGTTACTTTCCACCCTTCTTTAATAATCACGCTTCTGCCTTCTAAGTCTGAGTTAGAGAATTACTCTTTCGATGGAGTAAAGGGGCGAGGTTATATTCTGCTCTTAGTAATAAAATTTACCAATTGTTATGAGCTTAAACAGAAGAACACTAGAGGAAAAATGTGTCCATCATATCTTAAATTTTATAATAATGACATTGTTTTTATTTTTTGAAAATACTTGCAATAAGAACACTTAAGTAAATAATATCCAATATCCAACCTAGGTGTAGCTTCTTGCTGGTATTTTGTTGCATGCCCCTAGAATCAAACAATTCCAGACTTTTGTGGGCCAGGTTCATAATTTGAGTCATGCACAGAAAACACAACCCTCTGCTTTGAATATCAGGTAATAACTTCACCACATACTGGTAAAGCATGCATATTAGGCATTAGCTTTTGTTGATTCATGTTTTTCTAGAGGGCAGATATTAAAGCCTGACATATATATATATATATATATTTTTTTTTTTACTCAAAACCTACTAGGGTCCCAGACTCTTCTCTTCTTGTTAGTTCCAGGTGTAAATAACCTCCTCCAATGATGTCTTCTGCTCAGAGTTCTTAAGCCTTCAAACTCTCCTCAAATTACTCTGACCTATCCCTCCCTCCTATCTATGGACCTATATGGAAATCTATGGACCTATATGGAAAGGCAATATCCCTTTTGCTTCTGGGATGGTTCCAATTTATAGTGGTATCTTTTGCTGACGGGTTACAGAAAAATTTAAAAGGTCCCAATCAATAGACTCTCACACAGCTTATATTACAGACATTGCTAGATATGTATTCCCTTTCAGCTCAGCCTGCAAGTTAGTTGGTTATTTCATACCTGACTTTACCTCTTTTAGTGCCTTCCTAAAGAAGAGGCTAACATACGAACACATTTTAGACAATTATTCAAGAACAACATATTATCAGATATATGGCACAACTTCCAAATTATTGCAGACAGCATTTGTATCAGGTGCTTTTCTGTATCATGCCAAAGGTCATCAGTTTCCAGCCAGCTATATATATTTTATCATTTTCCATCATCTACCTATTTAGCATATGCATACATTTATGTTCATATAGCCTCTCACATCTGTTATCAATTTATGTATTAGGTTAAGGATCCACCAAAAATCAACTGTAAAATTTAGTGACCAAACGAGTAGGAAATGTCTTTATTTCTCACATAAACTCACATGATCCACTCACATCCTATTTAAGAAAACTAACTTACATGACCTAACTGAACTCTACTTGGGTTTTGAGACTTGCAAATATTCTAGCTGAGCATCCATGTGCTCAAGTAAAACTTAGAAGGTTCAAATACTAGAAGGAAGAAGAGAAAAAAGGAACTAAGGAACAATTAGGTAACTCTGCCTCGCAGTCCAATGTTCTATCTATTAATCTTGTCTTTTATGTATCCATCTTACTTCCTGGACTCCTGATCTTAGAGAAAAAGTTGCATATACATTTATTGCTATAGTTTTAATTCTTCTTTAGATAATTATACATATCATCTGTATAAATGTATATAAGTTTGAGAAGTTCATTCCTTTTAATAGCATTAACTGTGATACAATCGAAAAAAATTTCAAATTATTTCTATCCACCTTAACTAGATAATATTAAACAACATATATAATTATCAAAATAGGCTGAAGCTAGCAGAATAACTATTCCAAGTCAAATTATGTCAACTATGTTTTACTTAAGAAACCAATTTTTCTATGTATTTTGATAATTGGAGTGCTTTTTTTTTACTCCACAAATACATGTATATATGGTATATATGAACACAGTCATTAAGAAGCTGTACAAAGAATTTTAAAAATTTTGATCTCCTATAAAATCTACTTTATTCATTTGATTGCCATCTAAGATTCCTAGTTTACCAATTTGGTAATCTAAGATTAGTAGTTTACTAATTTGTATTTTGTCTTATGTTATTTTGTAAATGACATCACCAGTTCTTGGATATGCTGTCCTTAATGTAAAACTTTGCTTGTATTTCAAATACAGGAAGAATATACTTCGTTTCTTAGATGCAGAACGAGATGTCTCAGTGGTCAAGAGCAGTTTTAAGCCTGGTGATGTCATACACTATGTGCTTGACAGGCGCCGGACATTAAATATTTCTCATGATCTACATAGCCTTCTACCTGAAGTTTCACCAATGAAGAATCGCAGATTTAAGACCTGTGCAGTTGTTGGAAATTCTGGCATTCTGCTAGATAGTGAATGTGGAAAGGAGATTGACAGTCACAATTTTGTAATAAGGTGAGCATTTTTCTCTTCTTTGAGACTGGAAGTTTTTCAAAGACATTTTATTTAGGGATGGAAAACTGACAGAAAATTTTATAGTATTGCTAAAAACTCAAACAAATATTTGTCTATGATATCCTTTGCTGTGTAACATTTAAATAACATTTATTCTGGAATAGAATATTATAATTATTGCATAGTTGAAATAAAAAGTGATCTCATCATAGCAACAAGATTCACACAGCTTTTTTGGTGATAAAGGAGGCAAATGGCAATTTTAGTAACTTTAATATTCACACACAAAATTTTTTCTTACTATTCTTTATGCTTTAGTTTTGTGTGATTTTATTTGTTGTATAAAGATTATAAATATTACTATGGAATGATGTAACAGATTTATGTTAATTTTGCTTTTTATTAATAATTATCTAGAAGATAGTAAGAGCCTAGTTTAGCAAGTTTATGTTTGATATCCCGAGCCATATTTCTTTAATTTCTCTTTATATATGGTATTTGTGTATGTTAGTGTATTTGAGTTTTATAGTTTTCTTACATAATTAAGCATGCCTACTTGTTTTTCATTAATGGTCAAGAGACTTTGGTGAATTGTGTGTTTGATTACCTTATTAACTGAAAAAACTCAACAGTGGAAGTGGAATTGTAATCACATCATCAATATAAGCAGTTTTTAATGGGCAATTGTTATATCTATACAGTTTTTTGGCTTATTTTACTTACTTGAAAAAATTAGGTAAATGACTGAAACATGGATATTGAAATGTGAAATAGCACAACACAAAGACGGATAGAAAAGTATGCCGAGTTGACATGTTGAAAAACACCTACAGTCTCTCGAAGCTATGCTAGAGTACAGCCTGTGAAAGTATAGATCTTGAAAAAGTCTTTTTGAAATAAAGTCATAAAAGGAAAGATAATTAATTATGTATGAATTAATCATAAATAGGCACTACTTTTTTTAAAAAAAGTCATGAAAAATCACATTCAAACATTATCAAGTGAAGAAAATTCATAACAGCAAATACAACTGCAAACATTTTTACCTTATTATCTTTCCTTTTCTCTCTTGGGTGGAGGGTCAGAGATTAATTTGAAACCAATTGAGACTTTTAAAACCTGAACTCTTAAACTAATTAGAGTAAGAGAAAAACCTTGTGAACAAGTAGATATATATAATGACAAAATTATATATTGTGGAAGATGAAAGGCACTTCTTACATGGTCGTGGCAAGAGAGATTGGGGAAGTTGCAAAAGCAGAACCCCCTGATAAAACCATCAAATCTCGTGAGACTCATTCATTACCATGAGAACACTATTGGGAAAATTACCCCCATGATTCAAATTATCTACCACTAGGGCCCTCCAACAATATGTGGGAATTATGGGAATACAATTCAAGATGAAGTTTGGGTTGGAACACAGTGAAACTAATCAAGTGAAACCTGATTGAGTTGACAGCTATATTTTGACCTTATACTTTTTCTGTGTGCAATCTGAGCTTTAATGTATTTTAGATTTCGTGAGTATTACACACACACACACACACACACACACACACACACACACATCTCCAAACTTTAAAAGGCCTAGATACTAGTAATATTAAGTAGGGTAGAAAAATACTTTAAAAACTTTGAGTAATGTTAAAATAGTTAACAAACTAGAATTTTCTATTATTGGGAGTTTCCAGGAGCTTTCTCTTCTCAAAGAAAGGATGACCTCAGATGAACTAAAATGAGAGTTATTATATAAGAATATATGCCACAAAAATTACTAACTTTCTCAATTCAAAGTAGACTTATCTCTACGCTTTATAATACAAGAGTTCTTTCACAATTCAAACAGAGTTTATAAACTTAAAAAATGAGATAGGCCTGCTGGAGTTTTAATTTATATTTTTGACTTTGGAACATCACTGTGGAATTTCACTTTTTAAAAAATTTATTTATACTTAAAGTATAATTTTAAGTTCTGGGGCCATGGATGCAGCAAACCACCAGCATGGCATTATGGATTTTTCATATGCGTTTCTGTAAATCTGCAACCTACTTCAGCCTACCTCCCACTGTTGGTGACTTTCCTGCATGAGTCTTACCTGCATATAAAATCAGAAATTTTAGATTGGAGCAAAAATCTGCATCTTTAAAAAGCATATATATGTAGAGTTGACACTCAATTCACTATAATGTAGAAATTTAGTGAACATAGATATATGGTGTTTTATGTATATCTAACTCAGATAACGGTGTCTTAGTGTCAGATTCATATACATGCCCAAAAGCACATACAAATATCTTATTTATTTTTATCGTAAATATGAGAAAAATTGAAATTACCATAAAAGTGGCTTAACCCCCTTTTCTACTTAGCATTATGTCACCAATTAATCAACAAATTCTATAGATATTACCTTCCAAATATATCTAGAGTCAAATGATTTCTCATGATCTCCACTGCTGTCACCCTGATAAAAGCCAACATCATCTCTTACTTAGAACTCTACAATATTTCCTTAACTGATGTGCCTGGGTGCATTCTTGCTCCCTGCCCCCAAAGCCAGAGTCTCTCTTCATCATATAACAGCTTCTCATCACACTCTATAAAATACCTGTGTCTTGCCAGTAATGATAAGTGAGGTAATCTGAAGCTTCAGGGACAGACGATGCGCCTGTCATGTTCCCTGAAACTCTCTTTCCCACATACCTTTGGGTGGTGTTGCCCCTCATCTGGGAGAAAAGATGATGGTCTATGCTTGTACAGAATATACTCTGCAAGTCCTCCCCGACTGTAGTATCAGAAACACCCCCTGCCACTATTACCATCTAACACTATCTCTTGTCCCTTCCATTTATGAATTTATTTTTGCATTATATGTTTATTTCTTTATTTTTTGTCTTTTCAACTAGACTATGCAAGACAAGCTTTGCCTGAACTTCTCCATTTTTAATCTCAGACACTAGCAAAGATTCTGACATATTTATATATTCTATAAATATTTGCTAGTGGTAAGCAGGAAGGCACATAGTGAGAAAGAAAATAAGAAAGGAAGGGAAGGAGGAAGGAAGTAAAGGAGAGAGGGAGGCAGAGGAGTGAGAAAAGTGCTCTATCATGATCTTCCATCATCCATCCCACTTTCCATGAATGATAATCCCTTATACACACCTCAATATTATCATAATAATGGTCATCTGGGATGAGTGGCTGTCATATCATCTCCAAAACTAGAGCTCATCTACTCATCATCTCCTCTAAAGTCTTAGGTGGCCAAGTTTCAGAGCAGGATACAACCTCTTCCTGCAATAAATGCAGAAGCTGTCTTACTCTGTCTTTCATGGAGTAATATAGATTTGGCATCTGTTTTTTACCTTTAACCCACCATCTCACCAAGCAAAACATGAAAATCGCTGCCTTGTGTGCCTCTTCATTTTCTCATATTAACGTATTTTTAAATGTACAGTATATTGTCTGTAGTTCCAAATTTACAGGATGTATCTTGTAAAGTATCAATTTGCATGAAGCTGAATTTACATAAACTCAGTGTCTTGCAGCCTGGAGAAACGTAGGGTAGAGGCTACTTTACATGTGCACACCTGAAATCTTTTTGTAAGTAGTTTTTTTTTCCCTAAACTATTGTCATCTCTATTATAGTATTCCTTTAAAGATACAGCTCTATTATTCCTTTAGAGATAAAACATTTCTTTATATTTAAAGATGATAATAAAATTGAGAACAAATATATTGGGCTCTATAAATTCACATTTTTATGAGCTTAGCTTTCAAGAAAAAATTCTAAACTCTTCTCCATAAACTTGCTATGTAAAAATTAGTTGTATAGCCACAGAACTTACTGATTTGTACCTAAATATTTGTAAATGGCAGAGCACACCATTTACAATGGACTAGGACTTTAGGAGTCTCTTGATATTTTTAGCAGGTATGATTATTTTAAAAAAATGTTTAATAAGAACTAATTAGCAACCAATTCAAGTTCATAATTATATTATGGACTTACCAAGAAATACAGAAAGGTAAAGATAAGCATCTTAATGAAGGTGCAACAATTATCACCATGATCGCTTTTGATTTTTTTCTGTATTTTTACTACTTTCCAAAAATAGAAGTTGGGATGTTGTAGGATAAATTATTTGCTAAGTCTATACTGTCTTTCATGGGGTCAGGGATTATAGATTTGGCATCTGTTTCTTTGCATTTCGGCCCGCCATCTCACCAAGTAAAATATGTGCCACTGCCTACCATATACTCTAATCTACAACATTCTACAACAACATTTCTGATTTCCCACAAAAAATCTGTTTTTCTAATAAACATTTTAGAAAATGTCTACATTTTAGAAACAATATCTATAGAAAAATTGTATTTTGTTACTTAATAGCTAGTTGGAGAATTCATACCTTTGGGTTTAATTTTATCGTTTTATTATGAAATTGAATGATGGTCACTTACTGTATTCTACAGTGTTTAATTGTGGAGATATCTGGAAACTTTTCTCAATACCTATGAGCTGAAAAATATATTTATTGTAGGAAGGAATAAGCAAAACACTGATAGTTGGTTACTATTAAATAGTTGGTGGTAGTACCAAAGTTCAATTAGCACTTAAGAGCCATCACTGCAAACAAAAAAATAAGCAAAAGTAAGGACTGGGAGAGGGGGAACAAAACTTTGTGGCAGCACATGGTGGCACATGCCTGTAATCCTAACACTTTGGGAACCAGAGGTGGGCGGATCACCTGAGGTCAGGAGTTTGAGACCAGGCTAATCAACATGGAGAAACTCTGTCTCTACTAAAAATACAAAATTAGCCAGGCTTGGTGGCACATGCCTATAATCCCAGCTACTCGGGAGGCTGAAACAGGAGGATCCCTTAAACCCTGGAGGCAGAGGTTGCAGTGAGCCAGGATCGTGCCACTGCACTTCAGCCAGGGCAACAAGAGTGAAACTCCATCTCAAAAAAAAAAAAAAAAAAAAACTTCGT